CTGTACTGGTGCACGGGGTTATTCCTCACAGCTGGAGGACTTGCATTTCCCATTGTTGAACTTCCTAAGATCCCTGTTGGTTTGTTGAGGCAGCACAACCATCTGGTCTATCAACCCCTCCTCCTGGTTTTCTGCCATCTGCATACTAGCTGAAGGTGCGCTCTGTCCTATCATCCAGGTCATTAATGAAGACGTTAAAGAGTATTGCCCCCAGTGTAGACCTCTGAGGTAAACCACTTGTGGCTGGCTTCCAGCTGGGTGCCTTGCCACTGATCACAACCCTTTAAGCTCGACAGTTCAGCCAGTTTTCAGTCTGCATCACTTTCCATTTACCTAGCTTGTACTTCATCAATTTATCTATGAGGATATTGATGTCAAAAGCCTTGCTAAAATAATATAAACAACTCCCACCATCCAAGCCAGTCATCTTGTTGTAGAAGGCTGTCAAGTTGGTTGGTCAGGCATGATTTCCCCTTCACAAATCCAGGCTGACGACTCCCAGTCACTTTTTTTGTCCTTCGTATGTTTATAAATGGTTTCTAGGAGGATTTGCTCCAGTCTCAAGGCAGTCCCAAATATAATGTACATTTCTTTTTATGAGGGTAGAAAAATCAAGTAAAAAATGCAGGGGCTAGAGGGAGAGGCTTAGTGCTACGCTTGCGCTTGAGAAGTACCAGCTCTTCAATGAGCCTTGTAGCTAGACCAGTTCTGGTACTGCCAGCTGGCAGCGAGCAGCTGGTGTTGCAGAGGCAGTGAGTATTAGGACAGAAGTGTTCAGGCGTGAGAGCTTTCCCCCCTGGTTGAGGATTCCCAGCATTGTAAAGTCACTGGGATCTCCTGTAGGATGAACTCAGAAGATGAGTCCTGAAGTTTTATATTTAAATGATATCTATGTGGATTTTGCTAGCACAAAAGAGGTTGAGCTAAATTGCTTCTAAGTATAGGGCTCTGTTGAGTTCTTCTATAGTTAGAACTGTTAATAAAGGAATGGCACCTTCATTACATTGAGCTTACTGTGACTCTGAAGAAAAGATTTAGCATTTATTTTAATATATTTATTAGTACAAAAATGTCTAAATCTGAGCATTTAGCAATAATTCACTATAATCCTGAAGCCTTTAATATTTAAAGAAAATCTATGGTGCAGCTTCTTTGGTAGAAATAGAAGAAAAATATTGCGCAGTTGGAAAATTACAGGCTGTGTAGGTGTTGAAATGCCTCCTGCTTCACATTCTTAATTGGCAGCAAGCCAGATACTAAGCATTTCTGGTTTAAAGGGAAATACTCCCCTTTTCTTTAAATTTCTGATGGATAAAGGTTGCATTTTGGTTGCATTTTTTAGCAGTTAGGATTTTTTCTATCTTGATACAACACGAATAAAATTTTCAATTAAATAACTTCTCCAAGTTACCTTGACCTTTTGCATTATTGCTGGATAATACAAAAGTATGCATCTTTTCCTTGCAAGTTGTATTGTAAGAAGTTGTGGAGCTCATCCACCCTGTGACCCTTTTCTACCCTGTGAGCTCTAGGTTTCTCAGTTCTGCTTTAAAGCTTTGCTGGAATTAGTATGTGGTACTTGGAGAAATCTGCCATAAACATGAAAGGCTTTAATATTCATGGCTTTAAATTAGATAATAAAATGGTTTTGAATAATGCAAAAATATTGCAACCTGTAAATAGACCAGATATTAATCATTAAGTACATTTTCAGTAGTTGACAGAATACTGTCCTTTCACTGAGTTTAGATGTTACTTGGAGAAGTGTTTTTATAGAGAGAGCTCATACATGTTTACAAATAAGATTGCAGGGATACTAATATTAAAATCAGTCTGAAAATCTGTACTCATCCATTCTTGCTGGTTTTGAATGGCATTAAAAAGGGCTTTGATGTAGCTTTGCCCTGTCAAAACTTGTCAGCATTCTTGTGTTTACAGACAACAGTTAAAAATACAGAGTGGTGTATATGGTAACTAGCCAGAAAATTGGTTCCTAATACTTTTTAAGAAAATCACATTAGCTTAATTTTACATCAGTAGTAGTCTTAACAGAGGATTAAAAAACTACAAAAATACTGATACATTTTCTCAGTTAGAGTACACACTGTATTTAAACACATGCAACACAAAAAAAAAAAAAAAAAGGCAGTATTGGATTAGTAATTTCCTGTATTCCTAAAGTAAGGTAGATACCAAGAGAAAAAGATAACCCGTATTAAAAAAATATAGGAAATGGTGATTGCTTTTATGCTCTGTCAAGCCTTTTCTTCTTGACCTTAAAATTATGTATCTTAAATTTGTCCTGTTTTCAGCTTGTTAAATTTTGTTTATAAGTATTTTTGTTATTACATTCTGATATTGTGAATTTCAGTGTATTTTTTTTTCATCTGTGCTGACCTCCATCCCTGGCTGTGATTTTTGTTCACTCTTTATTATTATAAATGTATAGGCGCAATAAAGGTGAAGTCTCTGCTCTGGGAATGATTCCCAAATTTTGCTCAGCGGGTCAGGATGTTGCAGCCCTGATGGCAGCAATGTGTGATAACCTCAGTACAGTGCTCACAGCTTTCTGCTTACTTGTTACTTACCTTAGAATTTATGATAACTTGTCTATTTGGGTTCTTATCTTTGTAATATTTAAGGTGTATATGGTCCATTAAAAAAGACAAAAATACTGGTTCCCGGCATTCATGGTGTATAGCACTGTTTATAACAGTTATTGCCATGACTAAGTTTGTGATGGATCCTTCTTGATTGCTCTGAAATTCAGGGAAGTAGGGATGTTTTGTTTTGTCCCAAATTAGCTATATTAGTTAGGTGCTATAATCACACAAGCATTTCTAAAGATGTTAATATATTACTAGGTGAGAAATCAATGGGACTACTTGCAATGGTGAAGTTATGCATAAACATGAATGCCTGTAGGACTAAGGCTTGTAATGTGTTTCTGCGGGCAGGAGCCATCATTTAATTACAGTACAGGTACATGCAGGAGTGCTAGTCTTTGTGTCTGCCTTTACAGGCGGTAGAGGGAAACAGGCACTTCAGTGGCATGGTTCATCTCATCTATTTAGGCTGAGATAAATTGCTCTTTATTGAGTCCTACTTCTCTCCATTGATTTTAAAGGGAAATTATCTTAGAGGCAGACACACATCATATATGCTTTAGATACGTGCTTTCAGATTACAGGCGCTTTGTGTTATTCTGTACTAAAAATGAGACATATCTGCCATAGCAAGATTTACTGTTTCTGGAAGGGGAAGGTTTTGTTGGGGGAGAGGTTTTCCCATGTTAAGACCCTTATACAGCGTGATCGTTTGTAGCTGGTGAGTTAGGTAATTACACCCGTCTGCAGAATGGAAACGTAACACAGAAGTGAACTGGGGTGTGTGTGACTCTCCACCTTGCAAAGAGGATTTGAATTCCTGCCTTCCAGCCTGTACTTAATCTTCCAGAACATACTGCCTTCTAACATGGAAAATTATCTTTGCGAGGATAGTGACAAATACTTTCTTTCAAAAATACACTGAAATTGCAGTTTGCTAAACACTATTAAGTTAATGTTGGTGATACCTAATTGTTGTTTGAATATTTTCACTGGGAAATTATAAAGTGCAAAGAAAAAAAATCTTCCCAGTAGGATATTACAATATTTCTGTTGGGGTATTTTAATCTCTGTGGATTTTAATCAAAGCTTTTACTTTTGCTTTTTGCTTATTTTACAAACCTATCCTCATTTTTAAAAGCACATTTGTATGCATTTAACAAAATAGATCTAAATTGGCCTGCTTGAGTGTACCTATAATTTCATTTGATCTTCTGAAAGACATGAATGTTGAGGATGATGTGGAGCATTAATGGAATGTGTAAAGATCTTTTCAGCTCTCAATGCTGCAGGAAGGCTTTGCATCTTAACTGTGAATTCCCTAATATCTTCAGAGGCAGAACAAAACTGGAAGGTGGTTGTGCAAATCTACTGTCCTGTGACCAATTTAGGTACCTAGTCCCCTTCCTGAGCTCATGTATTTCAGTAAGAAAACTTGGAATGATGACGGAATGGGGAGTGGTATATGGAAGTATTTAAAAGTAGTTTTACTATGATTTTTTTTTTAAATTATGTGTATACTCATATTGTACGTTTAATAGTAATGTCACACTAAGAAAAATGCTTGCATGTGTACAGTTGAGCTCTGTGTGCTTATTTAAAAATGAGCTGCTTAGGTGTTGGAACAAATCTGAATTTGTTTAGCAAAATGGATTTTATGCATTTAAAGAGGAAAAAGGATGTGTTGATGTTTAGTTTTATTTTTAATTTTGGCATCCAGACCCTTTCTCTTTCTGATTCTGTTCTGGAAGCCTATCCACTTGGGTAGTTTTTGTTTTCATCTCGCGCCTTTTCTTCATTGCTGCCTACCCTTTCCCTTCCATCCTGCTTCCCCCCCCTCCAACATCCAGCCCCTTTCTCTTTCTGATTCTGTTTTCTGGAAGCATCCACTTGGGTAGTTTTTGTTTTCATCTCGCGCCTTTTCTTCATTGCTGCCTACCCTTTTTCTTCCATCCTGCTTCCCCCCCCTCCGTAGATTTCTGTTAAACTGTTGTATGTTGAGTGTAGTTTTCATTTACATCTTGTTTGTCCCCTTCCTATGCTTTATCACTTGTATTGTTAAAATATAAAAGCTTCCACAAAACCACTGCCTTGATCATCCAGTTTGAAAAGATCTTTCAAACATTTTATATTTTTTCCAAAGCTACACTAAAAATTAGAACATTCCATATTAGAAATACGTAACAGCTTTTATGGTTGATATTTTAATGTTGTTTTCTACTACATATTATATTAAAAAAAAAAAGTAATGCCTCTCTTGACTTACTATATGAACAACCTTGGGTTTGTTGTTGTTGGTTTGTTTTTTTTGTTTTGTTTTGTTTTTTTAAATGAAAGCTGTGAGCTTGTAACCATCACAGAGAGTAACGTATTGTATGTATATATTTTTGTAAGTTCTGGCCAGGATATCCAAGGAACAAGTGTGGTGGCAAATCTTCCAGTCCTGATGCGACAGAATCCTGCAGAAACACTTCGTCGGGTTTTACCGAAAATCAGAGTAAGTTGTGTGTGAGGAGGTTTGAATGTATCTCTTTCTGCCAGTATAAGTATTTTAAAAAAGGCAAAAACCCCTCACTTTCATTGCAAGCTCACTCTCTAGGAGAAGTATGTCCAGTAGATCTTCCACGTTAATTCACTGAATTTACAAAGTATTGCAGGTATTTTATTTTTTGAAAACTGTTAGAACAGGAAAAAGAAGCAGAATTAGTACTATTTACATATTCTAAAGATTTACCAGTGTGTTTGACAGCTTTTTGAGAACTTTTTTTGAGGACCAGCCAGTCATAATGATTCATTTTGACACTCTCAATCTCCTTCCATCCAAACATTAAGATTTTCATGCCACTATCTAGAAAAGTATACTTTGCTTTTAGCTGTCTGAATTTTCACGTGCTGCCCTCCACATTTTTAGTAAGCCACTGCTAGCTGTGGTAGATGCATGCTGGCCATATAATGTTATACAGTAATTTTATATGCAGATGTGTTTGTATAAAGGATATTTGGGTTGTTTCACCTGGACAAGAGAAGGCTCCGGGGAGAGCTCGTTGTCGCGTTTCAGTACTTCAAGGGGGCTTAAAAGAAAGATGGGGACAGACTTTTCAGTAGGGCCTGTTGCGACAGGACAAGGGGGAATGACTTTAAACTAAAGGGGCGTAGATTTAGGCTAGATATAAGGAAGAAATTTTTTACGCTGAGGGTGGTGAAACACTGGCACAGGTTGCCCAGAGAGGTGGTGGATGCCCCCATCCCTGGAAACATTCAAGGTCAGGTTGGACGGGGCTGTGAGCAACCTGATCTAGTTGAAGATATCCCTGCTCACTGCAGGGGGGGTTGGACTAGATGACCTTTAAAGGTTCCTTCCAATCCAAACCATTCTATGATTTTAAGGAAGATAAATATCTCTGTATTTTCACTCTGCCCCAGGTATGACCCCTTGCCTAGAAGAAATGAAAAAGTTCATTTAAGGTGTGGTTTAAGGAGCAGCTTCAGCCAAATAAGAACAAACTGCATCACAAACGCAAAGCCTAGTAACTCTAAAGCTAAATAACTTAAATAAGTCTGATAACTCTGTGTAAGGCTACAACAGGAATTAAGACTTTGATTATGTTAGCCTGCCTGTTAGAGTGATTTTCATTGATTTTAAGGCTACCAGCTGAGTGGAAAAATACATTGGTTTTGGCTATCAAAATATCTGAAAGTTTATTTTGGTAACAGCAAATTTCTGAGGGTGTTTTTTTCATTGGATCAGTATATTGTCAGTCTTCTACTGATACCATTGACAGTTTTCATGTGATTAAATCAAAGTTTTGATTTAGAACAGTCTCTGGCCTGGTCTCATGCAATTGATCAGTTTGATACTAACCTGGTTCTAATTTATACAAATCGTCAGCTAAAGGAACATTATGTTTGTTAGTAGCTGTTTGGCTGTAGTAGCTGTTTGAATGTATGTGCTCTCTATGGGAAAAGAGGTAAAAATCTCAAGGGTTTCTTGTAGAAATTTTATTTTCAAAGCATTGAGTTGTGTTCATAATTTTATGGACAGACTCAGTTTCCCCATACATTTTTAAAGATATGTTTGACATTTTCAGTAGTGTGATTCAGTCATGATTTAACAAGGATGCTTTGTAGAATTTAGGGAGAATTTAGGGTTTTTTCCCCCCATATAATTTAAAATTCTTTCCCTTTTTAACACAATTTGCCAACAGGAATGTTATTTTCTTGTTGCAAACAACTAATGCTTAAGAAGAATATTTAGATCACATCAGAAAGACAGAAAGAGTTTAACTAGTTACTGATTCAAGCTAAATATGAATTTGATGATCTAAAATACATTGAACTGAAAGTTTGAGTTATGTTAAAAATCTCCTCAGCTACCACCTTGTCTTCTCTATCTCAAGCACTTTAGGGATGAGAAGAAAAAGTCTTCTGTAGCAGCTGCTGTGAGTTTTCTTGCTATATCTGTATGAGATTCTCATTTCCAGGTGTAAGAAAGTATGTAATTTTATTAGTAACAAAGGTGACATGGCTGAGTCACATGCTTATGTTACACAGATTTCTATCTACTGAGGAGATGATTACTAAATAGCAAAGTGGGCCGAAGTGGAAATTATACTTGTTTGCTCCAGTAAATTTTCATTTACATTTCATGGTTTTCTTTGCTGAAGTTTTGAAGAAATCAATTGCTGCTTTTACTGAAAAGCTTTGTGGATATATCTCTCAGCTTTTTTATTTTTACTTTTAAGGCAGCTACCTTAACATTATATTAATAAAAGTATTCCAGAAAAAATACCATATTATGAAAAAGTACTTGGTGTATTTCTTACTGCCTGTGGAGTTGGTCTTAAACTGAATCCTCCCACTGTCTACTAATCTTAAGAAAAAGGCTGCTCAAGGAATAGTTCAGTACTTGTGAAAAACTAACTTAATGAGTTACATTCTGCTCATTTGTTATGAATTGATTGACTGAAAGATGAGGAACAAATATGTAGGCAGTCCTCAACTTGATTACTTAGCAAATATTCTTCTGTAGGATATTTAAATGCAAGCCCTACTGCGGAGTCATCTTAGGTTCCATGTGGTAGATGTACTCAGTAATATTCCATGCACCGATACATGCTGGGGGCCACTCAGCTGGAAAGCAGCTTTGCAGAAAAGGGCAAGGGGGTCCTGGTGGACACCAAGTTGAGCATGAGCCAGCAGTGTGCCCCTGCCGCAAAGCATCCTGGGCTGCATTAGACAAAACATTGCCAGCAGTTTGAGGAAGGTGATCCTTCCCCTCCACTCCACCTTTTACTCTACTACACCTGGAGCACTGGCCCCAGTACAAGAGAGACATGGGCATATTAAAGAGGATTAAGGGACTAGAGCATCTCTTCTGAGGAAAGGCTGAGAGGGCTGAGACTGTTCAGCCTGCAGAAGAGAAGGCTTGAAGGGGATCTTATCAATGTATATAAATACCTGAAGGGAGGATGCAAAGAGGACAGAGCCAGGCTCTTTTCAGTGATACCCAGTGATGGGGTGAGAGGCAGTGGGCACAAACTGAAACACGGGAGGTTCCCTCTGAACGTCAGGAAACACTTTTCCACTGTGAGGGTGACCGAGCACTGGCACAGGTTGCCCAGAGAGGTTGTGGTCTCCCTCCTTGGAGGTATTCAAAAGCTGTCTGGACATGTTCTGGCTCTAGGTGGCCTTGCTTGAGCAGGGGGATTGGACCAGATGACCTCCAGAGGTCCCTTCCAACTTCAACCATTCTGTGATTCTGTGAATATCAGACATCACCTTTCAACTTCATATTATCTCCTGAAACTTCTGTGATCCCAGGAGACTCCTATTTCTTAAGAGGAGCTGTTCCAACTTGTCTGATTATTTAAATTCAGCAAATGGCCAATAAATAGCTGTCCTCAGAACTGAGGACTAGTATAGACTGACAGATTGTTTAGAAAACATTAAAGTACTTCTAGTTATCATATTCTGTGCTATACGATGCAGGTCAATAGGCATTTTGTTTAAATATATATATGTGTATTAAAAAAAAATGCTTTGAGAAAAAGAATGACTTGAAGTTGCAAAATAATTGAAAACCCTTTAACTTACATCAAGTTTCTGCAGTTACTACCACATGTTATTCTGACATTCATAATGCCTTCTTTCCTAAACCAACCTACTGGTTTCAAGAAAAGTGGGTTTTTTTTTTTTTATTGTCTGTTTAACATACCAAATCCATTTTTGTCTCTGGAGTTTCTGCTTTGAGAGCAGAGTTCTTCCTGAAATGAAGGAGTAATAATAAATGCTGAGGTTTTTTTACCCTTGTTTGTCAGGGTGTGGAGGATTGGTAGTCTTTGCCTCTCTGTCTTTAATAAACAGTCTAATATGGGAATACAATTTTTGATTCTAGTCTTAGGTTTTTTATATAGGGATGGAGGAAGAATTTAAAAGGATGATCATTAGCATGATTGGGGCCTAGGGCCTGGAAAATACTTGTATGGTGGGAGTTGGAGCTCAGTGTGTTTAGATCAGGCAGTACTTAATTACTCTGTAAAAATATCTTCCTGCATAATATTGAAGAACATTCAACTGAAAACAGTATATGAAAAAAAAGAGTTAGGAATTGAAGACAGAAATATTAGAAATGAAGCAGACAATTTTAATAATAAATCCAATCAATCTTTGAGCAAATAACTGAGAAAAGTAGTGTGTTTTTCATCTTGCAGTGTCATTTAAATCCAAACTGAATAGCTTCCTAGATGATAAATTAAATGAAACTTAAGTTCATGTGCTCAAGGCAGAGGTAAGAGAGTGAAATATAATGAGGTCAGTCTAAATCTAAGTGTTCCTTTCAGGTTTAAGCTTTATAAATTAAAACTTTCTGGAATGTATATGAGTTAAATTTCTTTCTGTGGCTATACTCTTATAAAGCAGGTTCTTCAATGGTGTTCTGTTATCTAATATTTATTTAATCTGTAATAGAAGAACAGTTCCGTTGTACCCATGTTCACTGCACTTTTAACTGCAAAACCGTATTTGGCATCATTAAGCACTTGATTTTTTTTTTTTTTCCCCCTTATCCTTGTTTTTTTTGGAGGAATAGTCCTGACCATTAAATGGAAACTGTTATAGCCTATAAAGGCATAATCGAACTCAACTGCGATTAGAGTCTTGCAAATGTAGTCTGGCATTGCAGGGAAATAAGCTGACTTAAATTCCTGCACTTGGTTTCACTTCTGTAGATTGGGAAAAATAATATGTGAATTCAAATTTGCACATGAAAAATGAGTTGTATAGTAGTTTCAGGGTGCTATTTATCTGAAAGTATCGTCACCATATAACTGGGTAGGGAAACCAGTGTACTTATTTAGCATACTTGCAGAAACCCAAAAGCAAAAAAAAAATATTGTTTTTATTAGAGCTGAGGATAAAACAGATATAGGAAGAAATAAATGCAAGGAATGTTCTGGCTGGGTACATTACAAATTTTTATTTCACTTGTGAGAAATTGATATGCTGGTTACTTTTATAAATAAATATAGAAATAGATATATGCAAATTGCTTATCATTCCTTAAAACCTAATTAAATTAAAATGATATCAAAGACCCTTTATATATTTAACATAAGTGTTTTAGGTCTGAGATGAGCAAAATCAAACATACAATATGTCAACAAATATGCCAGATCTAAGTAATGATTAAATTGTGTGTCAGTATTTTGGTTATGCTAATAAAACAAATATGTTGTATATCATTTAGATGTTAACATAGGAATGAGATTATGAAATATTTTTTAAAATTCTACAGTTAAAATGAAGTGTCATCCTTGTATGGGTTCTTTTGCATAGAGATCCCCACTCTCTGGATTTCTGCATGCACCTCCTCATGAACCTTGGAAGTCATTGAAATGAGATTTAGCGAAAGCTTAGACTTTCTTCTCAGCGTTTCTTGTTGTGCACCAAATGGCTCCTTTCAAATGATAGTAGTAGTATTTTCCCTGTTTTCCATCTTTGGGCACTGCCGCCAGAAGCAGTGGAGGGAGATTGCAGGTGTCTATCTGATTGACTAGTAAGAGAGATTTCCAAATGCTGTGATTGCAGAAAACTAGGGCTACTCCTGTTGAAGTGTATACATCAAGCCTTATTTGGTGCTGTCTGATTAGTTCCAAACGAATTTTCACAGTTACTTATTTTCCTAATATATCAGTCTCCCCTTGAAAGCTTTTCTTTTTGCCTAGTTGATTTTATAGTTTAAGAAGAGGTGGGGTGATTTTCACTCTGTCCTATACCTAACATTGATTTTTTTAAGGTCCATACTCATTGTATCTTTGAGCTTCTGTAATCTCCATTATTTCTGTCTCTTTCTAGTCCTAAATGAAGATTTCTGTCATATCAACGCAGTTACTAAAGCGACTGACAATGTTTCTGCTTGCAGCGTTCTTTCAAGAGAATTCTGTTGCTGCAGGACATAAAGTGTGAGGTGAATTTTCTGTTTTCCAATTAATGGAATAAGCCAGGCTTTCTAAATTTTGCAAGTTTTGATGCCTGAGTTTAACTCGTAGACATTAGGATAGTTCAAGAACGTGCTAATACCCTTAAATTCCATTAAATACGCTTGTCTGAATAAGATAGACAGGAAAAGCTTTTTTCCTCCAGAGTGAGAAGCTGTGGAGGATCCATGTATTTCTAAATTAATTAGAAAATTAATTACTTTCTAAATAAATAAATTTATATTAAGTAAATTTAAGTCACTCAACTTGAGTTCAGTGAAATTGGAATGAGGAGACCCATACATTTTCATATGTGGAACTGTACAGTTCTGAGTGCAAACATCAATGCAGGCAGGTAAGCAATCTAGAAATTTACATTTCAATGTCTCCCGAGGTCCATGAGGAGGCACATCCAGAGAATGTGTTCTCACACATGATTATCCAGAGTTGTGTGGATCTGTGGAGGAGACTATTTGGAAACTTTATTTGATGGTAAGTAACCCTGTTTGCATTGCGTACAGAGTGAATTCGTACATAAAATTGAATTCAGCTCCATTATGTTCTGGTCTGCAGTGGTGTCTTAGCATCTACAGTGTGTAGGTAGTTCTTTTGATTATTTTGGGGATTTTTTTTTTTAACAAGCGTAAGCCAAAATCCCAGAACAGTATGCACAGGTATTCTGATCCCAGAAACATTCAAATTACAAAATTGGTAGGTGTCCTTATTCTTGGCTGTTGTAATAACAACGGAGGAACAAGGGCAGAGATAGGCTGTTGAGATAACAAGAGGGCGGTTCCTGTGGCTATTGAATGCAAATATTTTATCACACTTTGATTGGTAAGCTGCACAATGCTGTTTCTTTTTTTCATTTGGGGGAGCAGGGGCACAGAGAATGCTGTTACAAGTATACACAGCTGTAAACTGAGACAGCTGTTGAGAGATAAGTAATGGTTCTCACTGAAATCAGATAAACTAGAAATTATACATTTGCACACACAAACTGGTTGACATTTGTGTAATGAAAACTTCTTGTTGTTTTACTTTGAAGTAAGCAAAGTCTACTAAATAATTTCTGAGATGTTCTCTGCAAACTGTATTTTCTCAGCAAAATTCCTCTGCTATATAATACTTAGGTGCATAATGGATATTTTCTTATTTTTAAAATTAAAATATCAGCTTATTGATTTTTGATATGTGATCTGAGAAAACACGGTTCCTCTCAAGCACTTTAAAAAAAGAAGCAAAACCACATATGTAAAGTGTTAAATAGGAAGTAAGGGCATTAAACTCTTACTGACTTTGGAATAATTTGTAAAATGAGTGTAATGCTTTAGTAGTAGAATAATGCACTTTATTTTCTCATGAGATAGAGAGATACAGTTAGAGAAGTAAACAAATGCAATGTTCACCTAGCTGATAGATATGTACATACTTACAATGAATGCTGTGTCATAGATTGCATCCTACAAGCTCTTAGGCATGTGCATAAATCTGAAATTTAAATTTCCTTTTTGTTTCATTCAAAAAATTTAGTAATATTTCATTCCCGTATTATATTTGTTTAACTTCTGAATGGGTGCTTTTAAAGACAGCCTAATTAATTGTATTCTTGTATGTTAAAGCTAAGTACTAGTAAATGCTGCTACCTAGATAAATATTCTAGTACATCTTGCTTTATTATTAAGACTATATATATATATTCATTTTCATTTGTGTTCTATGTCAGTTGGCAAGGGATGAAATTTAAATTGCCTTCTGCTATTTTAGTATCTCTCACTGGATGAATGAAATACTTCTTTTTTATTCATGTGCATAAACAGCAGAAGTGCAATCGTTGGCTGGTCTCTTTTTACCTCTCATTTTGTAAAGCTGAAAAATCCACTCATATGCGTTGGTGAAACTGAAAGTACGAAAAATATTATAATTAACTTTATTTTTCTTAAAAGGTTCATGCTATAAGAGATTTAATATCTCCAAGTAATTGCTGTTAAGAGAAAATAATTTTGCAGCCAATTTTGTAGTTTACCCAGGTTGTTGCATATTCACTCTAAAAAGTGAATGTAAGAATTTGAATGTTCTTGCAGTTTATTTCTGCCTCATGCTCTAAATTTGATATAATTTGTAATTATACAGGAGGTGCTGCATGTTGCAGGAGTGGAAATGCAGTTAACAGCTGCTGTTTCATTTTTGACTGTTCTGCAAGAGGAGTCAGTGTCCATTCATACGTACTCGCACTCCTTCCTACACATCATTCTCCAGCACCTGGAACACAGAGATGCAGGTCAGGGCTGTACAACTATGCTGATTACTTCTATATGTTTTGTTTCCTTAGTGATTGTACAATACTGTGTAAAGCAGTGAGTGCGGTCACTGTGACTTTGTATCTAGACTTGCATGAATGAAAAGATTTTTGCATGCTGACCACTTACATACTGATATTTAAATGTAATTCTGATTGAAGCAAACAAAAACACTTTGTCTGAAGGACTAAATCCCAAAGTTGTTACTAAGTCCAAGCTTCTACTGAAGTACCAGGGTTCCATGGCTGAGAAAATAGAGGGAGAATGGTTGACGTTTCTTCTGTAATGATTAGTTTTTCTTAACTTCTTTGACACTATTTTTAGGATAGGAAGAAAAAAGGACCTATTGTAAAACTAGAAAGTTTCAGTGGGTATAAGAAAGAATATGCTTCTAAATGAGGGAAATCGTCTTTTCAAAACAAACAGGATAATTATTTTCCTCTACCGGAACAGAATTTGCTTCTCATCTATCCTACACTCTTAATGAGTGTTTGAAGTCTTGAATATTAATTTAGTGGCTTTTAGATATATAGCTCCTTGAAGAGATGAGTTTAAAAAATGGGAACTAATTTTGTAAAACTGGTGTGTGTTTTGTTATACTTGTTATATGTACAACATAACACATAACCCATTTCTTTCTAACAGGTGTCAGCAATGCATGGCTAGAAACTCTTCTTGCTGTAATAGAAGCTTTACCAAAAGAGACTATCAGACACGAGGTAATAATATTCTCCCACTAACAACAAATTAATAATATTTTGTAAGATTGTAGTTCCCTGCAAGTCTCATTCACTTCAGTAAGATTTGTGGCAGTTCTATGCCTGTGAAAACAGTAATGCTTGCGGAACATGCTGTGAGAAAGGAATGTGCTAAAAGGCAAGACAGAAAGGTCATCCTAAAAAATTTTAGTGTTCTTCAGCAAATAAACTATTTACTGTAACACTTCCCTTGCACTTAGTATTCTCAGTAACGTTTTCATGTATCCTGTTTTGGTTTACAGGATAGTATCTCATTCTGTGTCGTCTTCATTAAAGAACTACATTTTTGTTTTCTACTGGACTAAAATTCTGATTTCTTCTAAATGGGACTGAATGCTAGAGATCCGTTTCATTGTGTATTTCAGTTGTTCTTGATGTACCAAAAACCTAATGCCCTGGAAACACCCTTAATTTTTCACTGTGTAGCTCAAGAAAGAGGAAGAAAATCTGTCACTAAGTCATAATGTCACTCCCCTTTACTCAGCTAATTTATTCAGTTTTGTTTTGAGTATTCATATTTCATTGTTAAGTTTAAAAGCTTTGCAACAGGCATATTTTACTGTATTTATAATTTAAAACAAGATGGAGATTTAAATATATTATCGTTTGTGTAGTACAAAAATACTCATGAAAATTAGTGGGTAATTGAAATCCAGCACTGTTTAAAAAATAAACTTCTGAAGGGTGAAAAGTTAGGTTGGGGAAAAAAAAGAGAAATTATTCTAGTCACCTCCAAAATCTAATTGTAATGTAATTTTAAAGATGCCATTTAAACAAGATGGAGTTTCTCCCCTGATTTGTCTCTAGGAACACATTTATAAGTTTCCACAAAAATTTGCTTTGGGAAGATCACAACTTGATAAAGCAGTGTTGATTCAGCAGCTATACAGAAACCGGAATCTGAAAAGGAGCCTTTCGTGTTACTTGAAGGATCTTTGTATCAGAAAACTTGGAATATTCTAGTTGTTAATTTTTTTTTGTAAGTAAAAATCATAGGACAATCCTAGATTTCAAGGACATAAGGAAAGGTGTGTGTGTCAGACCAAAGGTCAGCCTAACCCAGTATCCTGTCTCTGGCAATGGCCACTTCATGGGATAGACTGTGTCTAGGTCAGTAATTGGAGTTAGTATTATTAGACATGGTGTGTTTGCTGTCATAGTTCAAAGACTAAATAAGTAATACACAGTTTTGTAGGTAATAATATGTTTCTTTATGCAGTGTTATAGTTAGAAGCATACTTCATGTACTAATTCTAGTCTGGGTGATATATTTGTCCTTACAGTGGTAAGATTCTCTTACCTCAACATTTCAGCTGGTAAGAGGAGGAGAAAAATGCTTTTAGAATTTTGTTGGACTTTCCTGCCCTGGATATTATCCTTTTGTGGAGCTCTGCACAAGAGATTGAGTGAGGAACTGTGGCAGACTACAGGAGATACCTCTCTGTAATGTTCCTTTTGGCCTGGCACCTGGATTTCTGTGATTATTTCTGGGCAAAAAAAATGTAAATATGGTGCTCTGCAGGCCTTTCTTAGTTTGTTTCTGGCACCACAGAGGTGATCCAACAAATGACAGCAGAGCTCCAATAAAGATGCAGGTTTTCTGCATCTGTATGGAAATGAAACCTCTTCCCTACAGATCCCCAAAGTATGCATGATCAAGAGGGATCATTGCCTCAAAACTTTACATCAGAAGTGGTGTTTCCTGGGAAAACTTATGAGAAAGAATCTCAGAGAAGCTTCCTTTTCCTTTCTCTGCATTTTTTTTTCTTGTGCAGGAACATATTTAACAACTTTTGTGAAAATTACCAGTTAATAGCTATAAATATTTATATACAACTTAGTCTCAAAATAAAGACACAAGTAGACAGATGTAAAACTGTGGCTGTGGTGTGAATCATAAACTGCTATTTGGGCCAAAATATGGGTTTCGTATGTTATAGTTAGCACTGAATATTAAATACAGCTTTCCAATAGACTGTTAACATACATAGGCATTATTATTGTTAGTACTGATTAATTCCATGAAAGGGGTATATGACATTTGGGATACGTTTTTATAGATTTTTTTTTTTTTAAGAAGGGGAATACATTATTTACTGCTCACATTTCTTCTGTTCACATTTCTTCTTTTTTCTTTCATATAGATCCTGAATCCACTTGTTTCCAAAGCACAGCTTTCTCAAACACTTCAGTCCCGCTTAGTTAGTTGTAAAATCATGGGAAAATTAGCTAACAAATTTGAAGCTCATATGTAAGTAGACACTACATATATTTTCATTCCACAGTATATACCACTATTTCTCTATTAGTGGGCAAAAATTACTACAAGAAAAGTAGACTTTATTTCAAAATTAAATATTTTCTTTTTACAGATCCCTTTATCTGGATATTTATTAATAGTAAAAAAAATGTTCATTAGATAACTAGCATATTCAGACTTGCTGATGTTTATCAGTTTATAACTTCAGTGTGTATGTTCTTCCACAGTTTTGAATGGCTACCATTTTCATGCCATTTTTCCATATTGTTTTTCTTACTAGGAAATAAGCCAAACTGGATTTCTCTGCAATTTACAGAGACAAAACACAACTTCATCACCTTAGAGTTTCTTGTCATAGAGAAGAATACCGTTCCTAACTTTTTATTTGTCTAACCAAATCTAACATATAGATATATTTTTTTCTATCCCTAATTATATGGAGATGTATCAGGAGCCATTGTTGTTGCCTGGTATTATCCAGCTCTTAGATTCAGTGTCTGTGGGTTTGGACAGTGGTGCAGAAGAGGGAAGCAATGACGAAAGTAAATCTGTATAATTTATCTGCCCAAAGCAGTTGGTATGGTACATTCTTTGGACAGTTTATCCAGTCTTACGATAGTAGGACCATTTCACCAAATGTTTTTGCTATCCAGGCAATTGGCCACATGTGATTTTGCATTACGAAAGAAATCTACTGAGGGCTACTAAATGCACAGAAACCATGCCTAGCTGAGGAAGTCCACTCTAATAATGATTTTGATCTGCCCCAGAATGCAAGAATTCAGCATAACAGAAAAGATGAACAACAGGACCACATGACAAGACATTTAGGAATAAATTTCTTTAAATTATGATTTTTTTTTTTGTCAATAAAAAAAAACTAGAAGCAATGAAAAGGAAATGAGCATGGTAAAGTAGTATTTTTTGAGAATGTTACCAAAGCCTTTGAATCTTCAAAATTTGTAGCATTCTGGCAGAATCACAATTGCTTTTATTTATTTGATGTTATATTCTCACGAAAATTAAGTGAATTTCCAGATCACTTGGAATCTTATGAGAAATTACAATAGTGTTAGCCATAAGAAGTTCAAATAATCATACCTTCTTTTGTTGGGTTTCTTTAATATGATTCCTTGCTGTTCAGAAATAGGAAACCCCTCATTTCAGTGAACAGATAATAGCACAATTTCTGTACAGAAGCTACGTGTTCAGAAGATGGCTGAGAATTTTCTGGGACATATTGATCCTCCGGTAGAGGGCTCTGAGTGCAGTTCAGAGGGCTGAAGAGAGACCTGGATCCACAGGTTTAGAATGTGGCAGGCTGAGTAAGATTCATGATACACTCTCATTCCCCTTGCAGCAGGGGTCTTGGTAGAGGCTCAGGAGACGTGTCTGGCCTCAGGAGTAGGCAATATATAAGCATATCTTCACATTCTTCTTCAGAATGGCACCATTTTTCCTCATAAAATTTATACTATAATTAAAAACCTTTCTTTTGTATTTCACATGACTCCCAGGTTATTTTATAGACTATTGAAAAAGTCCCGACCTTGGAATAGAACATTAGTTTTTCTACCCTCTGTTCCAACAGCTAGTTAAAAACAAGTCTTTTTTGGAACTAGTCCCTACTTCAGAGTATTCTCAAATGCCAAACTCCCAAGACTTTGTACAATTTTTGAAACTTGAGGCCAAATTTTGCTGTAAGAGGTAAATTAATTTTCACTGGGATGGGTGGAGGCTGTGCAAGCTGGCTTGAAAATTTGCTTGTCTGTGGCTTCATATTGTTTCTCTTGAGTTTTGCAACAACATAAGGATTTGGATAGAGATATTTTATGAATACTCATGACAGCATCTTGGGCAGTGAAAGGAAACACAATGGCTGATTCTGCCAATTATAGTATGTGTTTTTACTTAAATAGAATTCAAAATAGTTATTTTTGTATCTGCCATTGATTTAACATGAATACTTGGCTCTACTTGCATAAAGACAATTGCACTACTGAAGCTTGTAATCTTAAGTTGTTTTTCTACTTTCTTCCCAAGTATCTCTTTGGTGATACATGCATACCAAAGATGAGGTATTAGAGACAATTAATTGGGCTTTGCACTTCCATTTATATAATTCTTTGTATTCTTACAGTGGCTGGGGGGGGATTGTACTGTACTGAAGAGGTTATTAAATGAGGACAGCATCTCTAAGTCTACCTACTATTTTTGTAGTTTAAAAAAATAATAGATGAAATATGAGCAATTTATGACTGTAAATAATCCTTTTTCTGTTTCTTTATAGCACATATTTGTGTCTGATGTACAGTATTGTTTTAGAATTGCAAATTCTCAGAAAAATCATTTACCATGTGTGATAAATTAGTTTAAAAAAAATTGCCATTAGAAGTAATATATAGGTAAAATTTGAGTACTGCAGAGTGGATTTTATATGTTCTTGTTCTGTATATTAATAAAAAACGTTCACATTTTTAGTATTAAAAGAGAGGTTCTTCCATTGGTAAAATCACTGTGCCAGGATGTGGAATATGAAGTTAGAACTTGCATGTGTCGGCAACTGGAGCATATAGCTCAAGGAATAGGGTGAGTACAATTTGCATAACTGCTTCTAAATGCAAAATTTTTCTCTAAAATATTTAATGGTAACCTAAAAACTCCTTTTAAGATTTCTAACTTAATTCATGCGTACTTAATCATGAATTTGGAGTGTACAGATGTGTTCTTAGGAATTGGCTGTCGGCAGTTGGCTCTTTTCCATTTTCAGATTTTTGTTTCTCTCTGATAGTAAAATTGCTGAACCATACAAACAACAGTTTTTTGTAAATGAGTTCATCTATAGCTTCTTGAAATCATCTCAATTATCCATTCATGTCATTGGGCTTATTTAAAAATGGAAGAGGATTGTGGCAAGTGTTAGCAGTTTCTAATAATTACTGTGCAGTTTTTTGCAAAAGGCGAAATGTGTTTTGCAAGCAAATTCCAGTTCACTATCAACTTTTACTCTAAGCTTGAAGACTTTCAATATTGCATATATAGGAATAGAAAAAGTCTGGAATGTTTATTTTAATAAATAGAACATGTTAACTACCCACACAGGATTGGGCTCTGAGTGAACAAATATTTTAAAATTTCAGGTCTGTCCACCTGTTATTGTGTCAGGAAGGAAAAAAAGCAGTAACTTCTCTTAACAGATTTGAAGAAATTATTAAGTAAGGTTCTCTGCCCTGTGTTATACAGTGGGGATAGATTAGATCTTAAGAGGCCCTCTGGCTTTTAAAATTGTGAATTTATGAGCAAATTCAAGGATGAGGCTGAAACTGAAGTGTAATTCGAAAGATACGGTAAATATGCACTTCAGTTTGTTAGTACTGGTGTTCGTGGAAAAGATGCCTTTCTGTGGCTGTGGAATTGATTTTTTTTTTTTTTTTAAATGGAGAATTATGTTGTGGTTTAGAATCTCGGTTATTTAAAAAAACGAAAACAAAACAAAACAAATTCCTGAAGCAATGCGATTTACCTCTCAGCCATGGAATACTGGAAAAGTGTATGTTCAGGCAGTGTTTTATCTTACTCAGATGTAGGGAATGAATATTCACAGCAAGAACTAAGCATTACTGCCATGTACTTAATTTAACTGTTTTGGTAAGGTCATGCAGGTTAGTAATTTCTAGATTCCTAGATAAACTTGTCTTTATTGCATACAAAATAATTTTATATATGTGCTTTAGGCACCTCTTCTGCAAGGTCCTTGTCCTGCAAAAGTTCAGAGGATGTGCATAATGTGAAAACACAATGTTACTCATCTCACTAAAGTTACTCATTTGTTTTTGTACTTTTTTTTTAATAACAAAACATAGGTTAGCACGGTAAATCACTTTACCATTTTCCATATTGAATGGCTTTGAATTTAAAAGAACTTGTGATTACAGAAGAGAAAGGTAGTATTTGTCGATATTGTTGATATTTGTAAAACTGAGAATTTAACACGCATTTTACTAAACTGAATTACTGAATAATTTGAGCTTGCATTTATTTTTACTGTATGCGTGTATCTCATGCATCTTTATGTATCTTAAAATTGAATTCTGTTTAATGGGAGATTAAAGATGAGTGAAAGAGAGGGTTCTGTTTATCTTCAGGGAGTGACCGGTTTCTTTTTTTTTTTTTTTTTATAACTATCAAGTTTTGAAGGGAGGGATGGTTCTAAGTGTCACATTAGTTTGAAGATTTTTTGATGCCACCAAAATGGAAATCCACAGAAACATATTTGGAAAGCAATTTTTTTTTCCTTTCTCCCCCTCCCCCCGATTTCTGGGTCTTGATTTAGGATGGAGTCCTACTCTTCTCTCCCCTGACCCTTCCTATGTCATATGTTCTTGTCTGTCTCAATCACTGTCCTTCCTCTTTTCTCATTTGTTATTGCTCAATCCCATGAGATTTTTTTGGTGTCTTATTTGAGATACCATCTGCATATCCATTGATTCCTCTAACCTTCTCAGTTAACCTCAGCTACAGTCAAGAGCTGAGAAGTAATCATATGAATTTGGCTTTGAAAATTTGTGACACATAATACAGCAAAATAATTTTTTTTTTTAAATAGCGTAAGTATGTTGAGTTATTTTACCCAGAATATCTAGGGTATGCATATAGTTAGAGAATATTCCTTTCAGATATTACTGAAACATTTTTTATGTTTTAAAAATGTACGACTGCACAGATTTCCTTGCCTTGTGACTCAGTCTATTGAGAAGCAGAAAATGGGTTTGGTGGTAGCCTTTAAGAAGCACTCACAGTTTGTGTGAATCTGTGTGAATTTGCTTTCAGCAAGTTTATTTTACATTTAAGATAGGTATATGTGCAGCCGGGTGTTAAAATAAGAACTAAATGTGTGCATTTGTGTCGTTTTCCTCACTCCTCCTCCAAACGCTGTTTAAGTTCAACGTATACTAAGCAGTGTGAAAGAAGAAGCAAAAAAGTTGTTTTCATTTGTAACAAGGTGGCTATATCTTATACTAACAAGTGACCATTTTAGAAAGGAAGTAAAATTTTCTTCATTCCGTTTAGTGTCTTTAAAATGAACTAAATTGCATTTATTATACCTGGGAGATGAAAGTCTTAAAACAAGATAGGTGTTATGCCGTGGCAAATGACAGTATTACTGGCAAATTACCCAGCCTTAGAGTAGTGGTTTAATAGGCCTAAATACATAGTCATCAATTAGTGGTCCATTCTGTATATTTTTCTTTAATTCTTTCCTCCCTAACTTTTATTTTTAGTGTTAATGTATCCATATACACTGTTTTCTCTCTGAGGTTTCTGCCTATTCCCTTCCCAATGATTTAGGTGCTTTAATCTTTAATCTCGTAAGAAACAGTGAACTGTCGGTGTATTCAGTACGTAAACTATTGCAGTGTTTCATGTTGAGGATGAATAGGTAGTAGGAAAATAGAGACAATTAAATAAACAGAAATAAGCACATTTTTAGGTAAATGTTGAAGGCATAATGTGACAACAGTCCCAATGCTTATTTTTACTATTTAGTGATGTTACCACTAAATGATATGTCATTTTCTCATAATTTTATATGAATGATTAATCATCTGTTTGGAAGAATACCCTTAAGCTACATCCTGATTTGCTGTTAAGAATAATAAACTCTGTAAGGTGCAAATCACTTTGATGCTGATTATAAACATTTGAAACTATTATTGGTTTACAAAAGGGACAGCTGTTACTTGTTTAGTTTGATTGGAAGGGGTATTTTGGGCACTTTTATTTCAGTAAAAATCTGTCATCCTGGAGGTTGTGATTAGTTCTGTATTAAAAACTGTGATTGGAATGACAGAGCCTAAATTCTTCATACACAGTTGCTCAAAGTGTCAAACATAGTTTTGATTTTGTCATCTTGGTTAATGCTCATGTAGTGTAATTTTATCAGTGTTTCCCTGCAGGTTTATGTTTTGGGCAGTATAAACATTGAGGGCCAGATCCCTGGCTATTGTAAATTGCTGAGGTCCCATTCTTGAGATGTGGTGCTTACAACAGCTTTCACTAATTGACGAGCAGAGCTCATACACGAGAACAGGAGTAAGTGGGTTTCTTAGCTCAAATGCAGACAAATTCAAACACTAGAAATCTTGACTACTATAAATAAAAAATGAGCATGACAAAAAAAAAAAAGGAAATACTGGGTACGTCTTCCCAGTTCTTTTTGGTAGAACAAGATCTTTCTGATCTCTTAAAGCAATCAACAATTTGTTACATGCTGGGACATGGGAAATTACGCTGATTGGTAGCTTCTACAGAAGCTATACTTTTGCTCCAAAAAGCGAACCTCTTTTCATCTTACTTATGCCAGTCACCTTACTGCCCAAATGTTTCTGTGTCAAGAGTATTTCACTCCTCCTTAGTCACCCCTCTGATTAAACTCTTATTTCTAAGTCAGTCCCTAATACAGCAACCTGCTGCCAACGTATAGATTCAAGTTGTCAGGACTGTCACACACTCAGATAGTGCTAGTAATTACCAAGGCAAAAAGAGACAAGCAGAACCCTTTCTTTACTACTTTAAAACAAACCTAAAAGCTAGTGTTTGGGCTAGTTGGGAAGACGTGTTTTCTCTGAGCAGTAGTTGCTTACCCTCTGTAAAGAAGGCTCAGCTTTGAAGCGTAAGATTTCCAGACACTTCAATCCAACATGACTCATATTTAATAATGTTTGGCTTTGGACCATTGCATTGAGCAGTTTCTGCATATTTGATCAGAATAGTTTTCTTAGTGACACAGTGAAGTAGCTGGACTCCTTTGAGGTTTTTCAGACTGCATTTTCTCCGATTTATTTCGAGCTAATTTGAATGTTTTTTTAGTGATGGAAGCTCGCATTTTAAACTTGCATGTTTCTTTGGCTGACAAAGAAAAAAGTCCTGAGATTGACTGGAGGTTTTTATTTAATTTTCATTTCCTTACAACTTTGTCAGTTTTTCCTTCTTGACTACCCAAAAAATATCTAAATGAGTATTTCAAGGAAGAATTCTGTTTTGCTGTGGCAATATTGTTTCATTATATGTTTTCTCTTGACTGCTTGCCTCACTTTGCAGGACAGAACTAACAAAAACTGTGGTGCTTCCTGAGTTAGTAGAACTGGCGAGAGATGAGGGCAGCAGTGTACGCCTTGCAGCTTTTGAGACGTTAGTGAATCTGCTCGATATGTTTGATGCAGGTAGGAATTTAATTTAGGCTTACTAGCCCAGTTCTTAAGGCTTTAATGGATCTTATAAATGTATTTAAATGCTTTTTGTTCTGCCTGCATTCTTCAGACACTTCTGATTTTATTTTGTTTATTGTTTTACCCTTTATGTATTTCATGTCTTGCAGTGCTTCATACATAGTAAGTTTTGAGGAAGGTGAACCAGTTGTCCATGAAATCAGTTATCTTATTCCAAGTTTCTAATATAATATGGCTAAATGGAATGAGTAAAATTACTGTATAAATGATAGGAATATTGGGTTGTTAGTATTTACTTAATGCTATCAATACACAGAATCAAAATGTTAGCTCAACAGATGCCATTGCTTGTGCTTTTTTTGCTGTTAGCTAGTTTTTGCCTCTTAACTGACGTAAAGCTGGTCCTAATAAGGAAGATTAGATATAAGGAAGAAATTTTTTATGCTGAGGGTGGTGAAACACTGGGACAGGTTGCCCAGAGAGGTGGTGGATGCCCCATGCCTGGAAACATTCAAGGCCAGGTTGGACGGGGCTGTGAGCAACCTGATCTAGTTGAAGCTGTCCCTGCCCATGGCAGGGGGGTTGGACTAGATGACCTTTAGAGGTCCCTTCCAACCCAAACTGTTCTATGATTCTATGATTCTAATTACAGACTGCAGCCTGCCTTCTGAGCTGAAGACCCCAGACTGGGGCAATGATATGATATTTGTGTGTGTATCAGTAAACCTTGCAGCTTTTAACATCCAGTGTTATATGTCAAATACACTTGTAAATTTTGGAACAGAAAATATTTCTTTATGTCCCATAAACTGCAGTGTGCACCATCGATCGGTTTTAGAGGCACTAAGCATCAGCAATTACTATTTAAATCCCTTCAAACTTGTGGCTATAAGGCACTGAAAGCTTTCTTCTTTGCAATGAGAAAGTGTGTGTATTTTATAAAGCTTTTCTGTATTTAAAACAGAAAATGTAAATGCTTGTATTTTTCTCAGTGCTCTATTTCTTTCCCTATATCTTTCTCTGTATCTTTTCTGTATCAACGTGCATATTTCACGCTTCTCCAGGTGTAGGGGTGAGTGTCTGTGTCTTCATGTTGAGGAAGGAGAAATTCTCTTGTATCTGGTTCTTTTGGCATAGCAGTGGTGGGTTACCTACACGTATGGCTCTCAGGTTCTTATCACAAGCTCAGTTCAACACTGATTGGGGCAAACTTTAAGGAGAGCTACTGTGACTGATCCAGTATAGGGGAACATTCTGGGTAACCTCTGTGCCTTGTCCTCCAGTGAACTGCTCTGTCTTGATTTTTTTTCTGGGGGATGTAGAAGACAGTAACAGCCAGCTTTTCTGGCTCTGTATCAATTATGCTCTCTGCTGTTTGTTTTGTTTGTTTGTTTGTTTTTTTTTTTTTACAACTGGAAATGTACAAAGCGGCAAAGTACATGATAGATCATTGCTATAGTGTATATGAAAAAAAATTTTATATTGTTGATCACTGCTCATTATTTGCCACTTTGCTCTTTATACTGTCTTTTGCCAAGCTCTTCAGCTGTTTATCTTCATTAGCAACTCTGTATTTTGCACCACATTTCCCACTCCCACTCCATCTTATTGACTATGCTGCTCCTTCCTGATACATAAGTGAGGAGCAAATATTTACCGTACAGGAACTTGATGATGAATTACTAAAATACATGATTGCATATAAGCCATATGGAGTACATAAAGAAGTAAGATAGTTTTGGGGAGAATACCATAAATGGACTTTTTAGCAGTTAGTGCTTATATCAGTAAGTATGATAGTAAGTTAATTTTCAAATTATTGAGCCTTTGCATTGATGCTATCAAGTTTGTGCTTCTCTTTGCACCTCCCAGTCTTCATTCCTCCCCCCACTCCTCAATTGCTGTAGCTACTGCTTTTAGCTATTGAAAAAAGCTTAGAGAAAGCAGTCGGGGTTTATTTACAGGTTTGTAAAGAATGTGTTTCTAGAAATTCGGTTTGTGTAGTTTTTGGTTTCATGGTTGAACTAGAAAATGAACATTTTGAAGGCAGATGACCCAAAAGTATATCCTAGGGTTTCTTTCCCACAATATCAAAATATTTCTTCAGGTCAACCTAAATATTTTGTTCAGCCATAATTATTTGCTGAATTTTGGAGTTAATCTACCATTAAAACATCCTAATCCCTTTAAAACTTGAATATTTTAAAATACAGTGGTTTTATTTAAAACAAGTCAAAACACATAAACTTCTTCGAACATTTACTCCTTTATTTTATAAGGAGGCAGAGTGCTTGGATTTTACAATTTCTAAATGATCTAATTTCTTTCCTCTGCCCTTAATTTTTTTGTTTCTCTGTGAATTTATTGTTTACCAAAAGATTTTCAACCTCTTCTCAGTAGGTTGAAAAAAAATCATTTCCAGCATATCCAGATTTTTCTTTTTACTTGTCATGGTCATGTTCGGTCTTGATCTCCCTGTATTCCTGCTATTGTAGGAAATCTTATTGTAGGAGTACTGCGGTATTCTTGGTGAATGGTGAAGTTAGTGACTGTTCATTTATTCTGTCTCATCCTTTACTGGGGGATGCTTTTTCCCTAAAAACAAACAAACAAACAAACAAAACAGGTAAGGTATTAAAATTTAGGACCTGTATTATGTTAGTATGTTCACCATTCTCTATTCCTCTTGTTTTCTACCTCCAGTGAGTGCCTGCGAAAAATAGTCCTGAGCATGTTAAATGATATTTTTCATAAATCATTATGGAAGTCCACTCTCTGTGCTCTTTTGTAGATGTTGACAAATGGCTAACTTTAAAAACTTTTCTTTTGTTTTTCAGATGATAGGAGTCAAACTGTGCTCCCCTTAGTGAAATCATTCTGTGAAAAATCCTTCAAAGCAGATGAATCTATCCTAGTTTCTTTATCTTTCCATTTAGGGAAACTGTGTAATGGATTATATGGTATGATTTAATGTTCTTTTTAAAAAAAAAAAAAAAAAATCTTAAAAATGAGGGAAGATTGGAGAATTTGAAGCCCTTGGAAAATATCCAGATTTGAATGTATCAAATGAAATGATAATTAGGAAAGGAAACATGGAAGTAAAAGTCTGAAATAACCTATTGCATAAATATTGAATTTTGTGAATTTCCTCTTTGGGTGTCCATCTGTTTATTGGGTTTTTTATGTTTCAACAGGGACAGAGTTTTTTGTTTAGACAGGGTCAGAGATGGAAACATGGTGGTTTGTGTTTATTGGTCTGACTGATTTATTTTGATTCCTTCTTGGATATTCTGGAGCTTGTGAATTGGATGACTGAATTGAAACTAGAAACCTTTGAAAACACAGTATGATGTTAACTGTGTATGTTCATTTCTGTGCTTGATATCCTTTTTGAGGTACAGTACAGAGTGTGGCCCATAAGGAACTTCAGGGGAGAAAGGAGACCTAATACCATGTGGATTCCCAGCTGCAGCTGAGGCCAAATCTGTACCCATAATTTTTGTGGTTTTCTGTACTTTAATGCTTGAGCACAGCAGATCTTTCCCTGATCATTCTGCCCATCATACACCCTCTACACAGAGCTTGGCTGTGGAGGGGTGGCACAGAATCATGGTTTTACATGATAGAGAATTTCCCCCTAGATTCTTATATCCTTTGATCTTTCTTACACATCTTTAAAATGATCCTTTATGATCATGTTAGGGACTATCAAAGTGACCATTGCTTCTCCACAAATAACTCAAAAGGGCTGTTCCACAGTGTCAAACTCTTATTTACAGAAACATAGAGCTAGGATATTATCATGTCTTCCCAGTTGTCTTTTCTCTAGGTTGACTGACTTTAATTGCTGATCTTTCTTCACCTCCGAACTCTGTCTGGCAAGTTCATATTTTTCTTGAAGTGTTAGGAGAGCTTCAAGAGCCTTAGGAGAGCTGAACAAAGTGAAAGGGTTACTTCATGTGTCCTGCAAGCTATATTGCTGTTTACATTTTTCAGTATGAAAAATTGCCCTTTTTTTGCAACAGTTTGCAATAGTTTGACATTATTTGTTCAAGTGCAGCCTTGTTTATAAACAGAAGTAGCTCAAAAGTCTGGGGTTTTTTATTTGGTTTTTTTGTTTGTTTGTTTTTATTTTGATAAAACTGTCACCTAGTTAGTCTTTCTCTTTCCTGGCCTTGTGCAGGGAACGCATATCTGGCTAAGCGTGGCACCTTACCTCTGTCCTAATGGAATAATAGTCTAAGGTTTTAAGACCATATGTCCAGTTTCTGAAGATCATTTTAAACTCTATCATCTGAAGAACTAACAGTCTCCCTCCTAGGTTGCTGTTATCAGAATATTTAATCAGCGTATTTTCTAATCTAACATCCAAAAAACCAGTGAAAATACTGAATACTACCAGGACTAGGATAGACCTTTCTTTATACAGTTGCCTATCTTGTCAGTGACACAGGGGTACTTTCTCTTAACTGCTTTTCCAAGCAGTTTTGCAGCAACTTTGTGGTTTTTCATCTCTCTTTCCTGATCCCTTATTTTGCTTATGAAAAACATGACCTTTACTGCCTCTTTCGTATTCAGTCAGGATATATAGTACTGGATAACAGGTCCTGTTATCCAGTACTGGAAGGAAATGGAATCAGTTTGTCAGGTTTTGCTTTTGCCATGTTGGTTGCTACTCATTTTCTTGTTTCCCTTTCAGTAGATTCAAGTAGATTTTTTTTTTTTGTTCCAATTTTTTAAAAAACTTGAAAGTAATCTGACTGATCTGTAATTATATAGCTTGTCCTTCCCCTCTCCAACTACTAAATATCTGTACCACTTCAGTCCTTTTCCATTCTGATATCTCACTTGCTTTAAGATTTCAGCAGCTAGTACTTTAAATACTTTTGAATACTGGAATGAAGCACATCTGACCCGGCACATTTTGAAAACCTTTCATGTTTAAGTATTCACTGACCTGTTCCTTCTCTACTTAAAGCTTGAATCTTTGTCACTGTTACTAATTGTACTGAACCTGATGATACTAATAGAGTTTGAGCAAGAAAATAAAAGCATCAAGCATTTCAGCCTTCCAATCACTGATAGCTTCCTCTCTCTCTTGAGTAAAAACCTGAGCCTTTCCTTGATTGTTCTCATATTACTAATGTACTTATAAAATTACTTGTAATTTTTGAAGTAATCTTGCTAGTTGCCTTCCAGTTTATTCTGTTTTCTAATTTTGTTCTTAAATCTCTTTATTATCTGTAGCAACATATCAAGCATTTCAGCCTTCCAATCACTGATAGCTTCCTCTCTCTCTTGAGTAAAAACCTGAGCCTTTCCTTGATTGTTCTCATATTACTAATGTACTTATAAAATTACTTGTAATTTTTGAAGTAATCTTGCTAGTTGCCTTCCAGTTTATTCTGTTTTCTAATTTTGTTCTTAAATCTCTTTATTATCTGTAGCAACATAGCCTAATTTTTCAACTTGCTGCAGACATGCATTCTTCACGTGACTGAGCTCCATAAAGATCTAAACATTTAATCAAGAAGAAACCAGTATCAGTGGAACAAATATATTCACAATCCTGCAGCTAAAATCCTGAGTATTTCAAGAATTATGTAAACAGAAATTAGGATTCACTGTATTATAGTTAGTGATTACAGAAAAATGACAGCTTTTTCTGTATAAAGTGTACTGATGATACTCTGCTAGACTCACAGTATGGGAGGGGAGGGAGACTAAAAATTGGCGTATTTGATAGATTTGTAAATGAGATTTGGGTTTTGGACATTATTAATAGCATTTGTAATGAGGAAAGTAATATTCCCTCTCCCCCCCCCAGGCATTTTTACTCCTGAACAGCACTTAAGGTTTTTGGAATTTTATAAAAAGCTTTCCACGCTGGGTTTACAGCAGGAAAATGGGCACAATGATAATCAACTACAGCTTCAAACTCTGGAACAGGAAAAGAAGTATATTTCAGTGAGGAAGAACTGTGCTTACAATTTTCCAGTAAGTAACTTTAATTTAAGGTTAAATAATTTTTGTCATGCATATAGTTCACTAAATAGGACTACCTGAATGATAGAGAAGTTATTGCCAAATTGTACATTGTTAGCTAGATTCTAGCTCTCTCCTGGAAAGTTCAAGTTAATGGCTTAAAGTAGAGGTTGTCCAAAAGAGTTACCAGGAAAGATTCCTCTTTGCAGTACCTCAGAAAATTATCGGCAGGTTTTGACTGAAAGAGTGCTGTTCTAAGAGGTCACTGGTCTCATGCTTTCCTACACATTTTCTCCAAACCCTTAGCACAAAGGCATTGAGAAAATGACTGTGAAACAGAGTCCCCAGTTTCAAACCACTCAAAGCTAGGTTTTTGCATTTGCTGTGTCGTGGCATTACAGGGAGTAGAAGATTGAATCTGAATGGTTAGATTCACGTTTTAGTCATGTTCCTGCCTGAATACAAAAAGACTTTTCAAGTTTATGTGAGGTCTTCAAACTTACCACTCATGTTTCTATAAATCTACTTTGTATTTTGACATTCTACGTTTATATTTAAAGAAAATATGTTTGTACCAAGAGCCAGTAGACAGTTATTTTTATTCTGCCTTTTAAAGACAAGCACCATGTATATAGGTAGACATCTGTTGGTTTATTTGAGCAAAAACAAGGCATGTACACACACAATTATGTTGAAGTTCAGATGCCTGCTTTGCTGCTTGCTAAAATGTACTTTGTTTTTGAAGTCTCCAATTGCAGCTTCCACTAGTGTATCGAAACATTAACAATATTTATAAAACTAAGGTTTTATATCTTGTGTTTTTAATCTGAGTGTTCAGAAAAAAAAGCCTGCAGCATGTCTGGAAGATATGTAAATCCATTTTAGTTCTCAACTCTAGAACTTGTCTGGTGCCTGTGTTTTGACACAGCCATCAAAAATGCCACACTTCCTCTTTAAAATCACAACCTGTTATCTCCCAAGTGTCTTGCTGGTTGTAATTCAATGTTTTCATCTGATAATTTCTGATGGTGTGGTCCTTTAGCTATACATTTAATAAAAGACTTTATCTTTCCGCAGGCCATGATTGTTTTTGTGGATCCAAAGAACTTCCATTTAGAACTATATTCTATATTCTTCTGCCTTTGTCATGACCCTGAAGTTCCTGTCAGATATACTATGGCCATAAACTTCTATGAAGTAAGTCTACAAAGGTACTTTGTTAGTACTTACATGTTTTTGTTTTATGTTGTTTTCTTCTTTAAGCTTACTTTTGTGACTGTTCAACCAAAAGAAAAAGACTTGAGAAAACTTCTTGAAATTTAGTTTGTGAAAGGTGTTTAGTCCCTTCTAATATATAAATACAGCCCATATACACACATTAGTATTTAAGTTGTGTGGCATTTGGCTACAAGAGCCTATAGCTAGGTGAGCTCTTAAGGAGCAAAAGCTGGAAGAAACTTAAACTGGTCTAGTACCACAAACATAAGCAATTGTACTAATTAGAATATTTTAAGGTTTTGAATACTATTAGAAAATAATGAGACAAACAAGAGAAAGGAACTTGTCACTTAAGGTCCTGAAAACCTTCTTTAGAACTGTACAGTTTGCTACTATGCTGGTGTTCTGTGGAGAATGTTTATATGTATCAAATCTAAGCTAAATGCTCAAATTTAATATGAAACTACTTGGAAATTTATGCAGATGTAAAAGCATATATATCCTTATTATTCCATTCAGTTTACATAAATTCAGCTGTATTATTTTCATAAAAGTTCAAAACTGTAGAGCTGCACAGATATTATTAGCTATATGGGGTGAATTCCAGTAACGAATATACACTTTCTACCCATATAGGGAGATCTTAAAGGTTTTCATAGTGTTTTACTGAGAATCCTTGTGTTTCAGTCCTCGAGCTAGCTTTTTATCCCATTTTGTTGCTGTGGAAATTGGTAAGTTAAGCAGCTTGCTGAAAGTATTTAAATCACTAGTAGAGGCATAAATGAAGCCAAGGTGGCTTTATTTCTACCATCTTAAGGAAGATGGATGGTTTTCCAGTTCTCTTTACCTGTTGATGCCTTGTCTTAACAAATGATAATCCAAGGTAATTGTTGAAATTATAAAATTAACATATAATTGTACATAATGTTTCATGTCAGATGTATAACACTTTTAAGGTACTGCCTGAATATAAGTAAAGTATTTTATCTCATTTAAAAAAACCTGTAAAGTTATACTGTGGTCTGAATATACATTTAGTGCTGGTTAATTTATTTTTAACACCATAATTTGCAACCACGTGACAGCCAGAAATGAGTAATTTATGGCATTTACTGCTAGGTGGATAAATAAACTCTCTGTAGCCATTTCTCTAAAGCTTCACCTTGATTGGAAGTAAGGTCTTATTTTCACCTGGCTTACATAAATAAAGAAAACCATTAAAAAACATCATCTAAATACTTTATATGGCAAAAATCTCATTCCTCAGCTTTTTCTCATATTTGCTATAAAACCTTTTTATCAGTGTGGAGATGGACTTTTGGTGGTTTTTAGAAATTTGTGACTTACGAATCACGGTAAAAAAAATCCTAAAGAAGTAAGGAGTGAAAACTTTGGATGGAAGGTTGGGGAAACTTAAAATCCAGAACAGACTAAGTCGATTTTTATATTTCATCTTTTGTAACTTACACAGCTGACTGACTGTTAACTTCCCTAAGGAGCATGAACTACAACATTTGACTATTGCCGAAGGAATTTTTCTAGCCTTGCAGTGCAGTCTTAAAATTTTTTGATAAATGTGAAATAGAGTTAATTCTAAAAGCATATTTCATGGTTAGGTAATAGGCCTGTTTCTTGACTCATATTCTTTGTATAAGCATATTTTTAATGTGATCGATGGGAAAGTACACAACTTTAGAAGGTTGATATTAAACAATTGTTCTGCCACCCTTCTTCATGCTTGCTGTAAAGTAAGCACGTGTAGTATAGTTGTTGTAGTGCCAAGGAACTAAAGAATGTTTCAACTTGCTATCTTACTGTCATTTTTTTAGGTCGCTAAGCTTTTAAATTCTGGTGTGTATACAATACATAAAGAACTGGTTACACTATTACAGGATGAGTCACTGGAGGTAATATACTTTTATTGGAACTTTCTTTTGCTTGTTACATTGAGGCAGATTATCTTGATGTTTAATAATTCTGCAGTAAGACAGTACAGTAACTGAAATGATCAACAGCTTTTACTTGTGTTTCACAGACGCTTTATAAAGATGCCAGCCTTCTGTGGATAAAAAGGAGGAAAATAGGAAGGTGTTTGAATTTAGTAAACCCATACTGAATTTATTAGCTTTTAAAAACATTCATTCTAAATTGTTTTAATTGCTGTATTATTTATTACCTTACGAATTCTGTGGAAAGATTTGGTTTTGATACTATATTAAAATAATTATTGATAGCATTCAAGGGTTTTGCTTTGGATTATTTTAATTTCTCCAACTGAAGAGGAGATGAAGATGTTGTGTATGGTTCAAAGATCAAGATTTATACAAAGAGTTTCAGTCCAAGATCTGGTACAGAATCTGTGAGTCTTTGTGAGACAATTTAGTTTAGTGTACCTTGGTTTCAACCTGCGTAAAACATGAATCACTTAGCTATATTATAGACAATATAGTAAGACTTTTTTGGGTTGAAAAAGACAAATATTTATGTTTGAGACAAAATCACCATTTCCTCTGATACTAGTTATTCCAATAGTTGATCTTTTTTGTTTTCTATGTAGGATCTTTGGATATGGCATGGAAAAATGAGTTTTGCTTTCAGGTGCTCCTTTTTGTTTTGGTACTCTTTGTTAGACATTTTCAAGGAAATTAAAAGTGTTCATAGAACATCTTATAATTTATGAAATTCTGCCCCATCTTAAAAGATTTCTCAGGTTGAACACCTGAAAGTTGAGACTCAGAAGCAGCTGGTCATTTTTAAAAATTCCTTGGTTTGATCCCTATACAGTTACCTAAATAATAAAAAGTATTTAGTCCTTTATCTTATATACCACCTCAGTCAGAATTGCTGCCAAAAAATATTTAATTATGTACTTTTCTAGTCTAGTTTCAAGTATCACAACATTTGAAAGTAAGGCTTTTCTATTAATATAGGCTATATATTCTATTTTAATTTAGCAACTGCAGTTTTTCTTAAAGCAGGAAAAATTGCTTTTAAGATTCAGCTGACAGATACAAAAAAACCCACTTTGTGTTTGTCGAGGCTCTTACTTAACTGTCTATGAAATACAGATCTTTCTTAAGAATAAATGTTCATTTTAAAATATTGCATGCTGTGAATAATTTAGAAAGCGTTGACTGTGGTATTCACATAAATCAAAACTATAGTTTGTTTTCGTAAACTGAAACCTACAATACTTATATGACTTACTACATTAAAACATCATTTTTAAATCCCAGTTCTCATCAATGCAAATACATTGCACCTCTTTTTTTTTTTTTTTTTTTTTTTTAATAAGGAGGCAAACAGTATTTTGGCCTTGCTTTGCCTTGCCTTGCGCCTCCTCTAACTGGTACAAATGAAAAAAATGCAAGCTGACACGGATATCCAGGATGGAAAACGCTGGCCCAGACTGTTCAGTGTAACAGAAGTGTGGGTGGCCTTAAAGTGAGGGGACGGTGTTTACGAGACAACAGTGGATCAGAAAGCAAGGTGGGTATTCTCATGTTTTTTAAATTTGCTTTCTAAATGAAGGTAGTAGCAAAGTTGTTTAGCCATATACTGTATGAAAAGGCTTTCATGATTAGTTTCTGCTTTGGAGAGATACAAATCTTCTGTGGTTTTTTGATTGTTTATTGACTTTGTAAACTTTAAAATTAAAAAAAAAAAAGGTTTTGAAAGATTACACTTAGTATAAAAATGAACAGTTTATCCATGTTCTTTTTCTAATTAACCACAGATTTGCTGAAATAGATCAAATTTTGAAATACAATCATTAAGTTAAAACAAAACTTGGTTTCATGCTAAAGAAGTGATAGCTAATACCTAATTTATTTTTTTTTTTCTATTGATGTGGCAACTGCCCATGGTTGCCATTTTCAGACACAGTTTCTGCTAGGACGATGCCTGTTTCCTGTGGTAAAGGCACAGAGTTAGGATTTAGGAGATCTGTATTCAGCTCACAACTTTGTTAATTTAATTCTATGTGGCTCTGGATGATGGTTTATTCAGTGACTCCTCACCTGTAAAATAGTACATAAAAGATCATCTCCTGTTTCAACATGCTGTTTTGAGCATACTTCCTAAATGTATAGAGAAATTCAAATATTCCAACAATGTAAGAACTGAATAAATTTTTTTCTTATATGGACAAAAGTTGAGAGTGTAATTTAAAATGTGAATTTGTCAGAAGTTTACAGCTGTAAATGTATATAACATAAGTGCCATGTCGTGTGGCAGTCTGTTTCATTTTGCTTAGTGCTAAAGAGAAGTTAGCTTGGCTACTATAAAGTCTTCGCCTCCTACTGAGAAAAGGTGTATAATTCCTACTAAAATTAATTAGGGAGTTGAGAAAAATAACTGCAAAGTTTGAGGCTAGGAGGAAAATGGGTTTTATTTGTTTTGAGAAAGAGAATACTGGGAAGGGATATCGTAATGGCCTTTATATCTGTGAAAAGGTATTACAAAGAGAACGGTGATCAGTTTTTCTTTGTCAAGAGGGAAGGGGTTGGAAATGAAATTGTGTTTAGTTAGGGACTGGAATAGCTTTTTGACTAGTTAAGTGGAATTTACTGCTCAGGGGATATTGTTTAATCCCGATTGTTAATTTTTTTTTTAAGAACAAGTTAGACTAGTATCTACTGGAAATGGTCACAGTGTAGCTGATACTGTCTGAGGAGAGGAATTAATTGACCCCTTAAAATCTCTTCCCTTCTTACATTGTTATGATGTGCTTTTTGAGCGTAGTAACATGACATACAGCTAGAAGATGTAAAATTACTTTAATGTTTATATTTTTATTTCTAGTTATTGTCTATTCCTGACTTGATACCTGCATTAACAACAGCAGAACAGAGAGCAGCAACTTCTTTAAAGTGGAGAACTCACGAGAAGTTACTACAAAAATATGCATGTCTCCCTCATATCATATCAAGTGATCAGATTTATTACCGTTTTCTTCACAGAATGTTGACAATCGTTTTGACAAATGTGAGCCTGTCTGTCTCCTATTTTTTTCAATTGTCTACTGTATTTAGAAAAATTAGCACTAGATATTTGCTATGTGTAGCACTTTATGTATTATATTAATCTTAAAGTAGTATTTCTTGTTGAATTGTATATCAGGCTGGTTTTTTTATATAAGACTGAGAAATTGCTCTGAGAACTCCTCCCCCAGTTTGAGGAGAAATTAGTTTGGCAGATTGTCCTGTTTTTCCTCACACCCAAGACTTCTTTCCTTTCCTTGTGCTCATTATCAGTTTGTTCCTAGGTAAATCAAAACTTTTTCCTCTGAGATATGCCTTCTTTTTCCCAATTCCATAGATTACATTGCATTGTGTTCCATTCTTTATGAAAGAACACTTAATTCTGAAAATGAATGATCATTTAGAGCTACTGGTCTGAAAGTTTATTGAATTAATTGAAGAATAAAACTTTTGTAAGAGAAGACATTGTAAATTTTCTTTTCTAACAGCCACAATATAGAAGGTGCCTTCCAAACATGGAATACTTTTAAGCGTTTATGAAATGGTTGAATAAACAAGTTAGGCAGGGGGGATAAAGAAGTGTCTCATAAATTGGCCAAACTTCATTATTCTCCCTTACTTTATGCCAATTATTTCAAAATTTCAAAGAATCATTGAATCATGGAATATCTCAAGTTGGAAGGGACCCGTAAGGATCATTGAGTCCAACTCCCCGCTCCTTGCAGGACTACCTAACACTAAACCATATGACTAAGAGCGTCATCCAGATGCTCCTTGAACTCTGAGAGGTTTGGTGCCATGACCACTTCCCTGGGAAGCCTGTTCCAGTGACCAACCACTCTCTCAGTGAAGAACCTTTTCCTAATTTCCAATTTGAACTTCTCCCAAGCTTCGTTCCATTCATTCCAGAATTTATAAAGTTAGGCTAATTTTTAGCTATTTTTGTTACCTGAAAGAATATGACTAAAAACTTATAAAAATTCTAGAAGTATGTTTAACTGTGTTTCCTTTATTTCTTTCAAGAATGTCCTGCCAGTCCAAAAAGCAGCTGCTCGAACTCTCTGTGTTTATTTACGTTATAATCGCAAGCAAGAACAGCGGCATGAGGTTATTCAGAAACTGATTGAACGTAAGATAATTTTTCCTTGATTACTTAGAGATGCAAGTTAGTTTTGACTGAAGATCTATTTATGGTTATATTTATTCAGTGTAACTTCCTGCCATCATTGGTGGGATTACACTTAAAAGACATTCAGTTGCTCATATATTCCATGCATATGCGAGGAATATATCTGAACCTTATGCAAAGGAATTGGGAAGGAGGCAATATGGGAAATTGATAATATGCCAAGACCCCTCCAACCCTACTTCTTGAATCCAGAATTGCTTAGCTGTAGGTGCTGCAATATACGAAGCAGAGTTCCTCTATGCAAGTAAAATTCTCTAGAGGCTTCAGCATAAGAAGTGATGGATAAATCTTCTCAGAAATTAATTTATCAATTAGTTAGTCACCTTAGTTCACTTTCTGGTCTATGCTATGGGTTTTAAAGATAGGTTAGAAGACTGAATAGTTCCCATTAGCAATCCTTTAATGTTTACACAGTAATTTTACACTGGTGACATGGTGTCATGTCATATAGGGCTTTATTCAATACAGTAGCTAGTTCACTTACTATTTTTGCTTTTTCAAATGGCTAAAGGCACAGGTTGAATTTCCGAAAAAAAAATGCTCACTGACAGAAATGGTCATTGAATTCAGAAGGTTAGGCTTTCACTGAAAGAAAGAATTGAGGTAGGCTGAGGAGGTGTGCCTTGTGATGCGTGTGATGATCATCTTTGAGTCAAAGGTTAACCTTTGAAATGTTTTCTAGCCGACATTGAAAACTTAATAGATAATATCTGTGGATTGTTATTTTTCAGAACTGGGCCAAGGAAAAAGTTATTGGAACAGGCTTCGGTTTTTAGATACTTGTGAATTCATTATGGAGCTGTTTTCAAAATCATTCTTCTGCAAATACTTCTTTCTACCTGTGCTTGAACTTACACATGATCCAGTGGCAAATGTGAGGTACTGTATGAAGAGTATGTAGCAGTATACAGGAAAAAAGCTTTAAATAATATATTAGGAAATATTGTTACAGGTTTTACGTCTTGTTTAAATAATGGGACTTTAGTAAAAAGGTACGGGCCCTTCAGAGTGACAAGTATTAAAGGTGTAGGGAACTATGGGAATAATGTTAGAAAACCACAGCAGGGTCAGTCGGAATGTTTGGGGGACTGATTGAAAGTGTCAGGTTTTGGGAGCGAGAAAGGAACCGTGAGGCAGAGGAGCCAGCAACAGATGAGAAGAAACTAATACGCTGTTTCATGGGTGTAGAGAGAGAAATGTAACTTCACAGTCTCCATTAATTTCCATCCATTTCAACATCATGATATATAAAGTAAAACACACAAGCAATTCTTTCAGTGGTCTGAGTTTAACAAGTTAGCATAGGTTTTACCTTATGTAAAAGTTTTCTACTTCATTGTTAAATTGAAAAAGAATAGAAAAAATAAGTGAATTTGGTATGTTATTCATTTTTATACAGTGTTTTTTCCGTTATTTTTGTAGTCAATTTTTTTCTTCACTAAACAGATAGGGACCAGGCAGTTACTACCAGTAAGAAAATAATTCCTTTTTTTGGTCATGTATTTTGTGTGATTATACGCTTTTAATCTTATTTCTGATGTGTGTAATTCATGTTGTCATCATTAACATGTCCGAACATCTAATACTAATGCTGCATAAAGATTTACATAAGCATAATTTGCACATACATGTGTGCATTCAGTAAGCTTCACTAAGTACACTTGATTACATTACCAAGTTTTTTAAATAAACCTTGTGTTTAGTATAACTACCACATCTCAATTCTGCAGGATCCCAAACCAAAACCATTTTGTGCATATAGGTTAACTAACACTCATGTGTCATGTCCTTATGTTAAGAGGATTATATTAAAACAATAAACTAAATTTATATATAGTCTGAAGTATCTTACTGCTTTTAACAAATATTTTAATTAAAAGCTCTATTGATACAATATTAAAAATTAAAGGAAACTTGGAATAAGTTGCAGTCTCTTAACTGACATTAAAACCAATTTTGTCATAATTCTTTTCTGAATTGGTTCCTAACACTTTTTTACAAAAGGAATGCATTGTCTGTGGTGGACTGAAGTTTAGAAGTCAAACATAGCTGTTCACTCATGATTTTAAAACAAACTTGGGGAAATACTATTCTAGCTTTCTACAGAGTGGTGTAAGTCTTTGTAATGGGAAGTTGTGAAGGCTAAAATGTTTTGAAGGTATAAAACCAGTAAGATGAATTCGTATAAGAAAATTTTTTTTGAGTGTTATTAATCACAAAGTTACCATCTCTGGCACCAGATTGTCTCTTATCACAAGCCAGTGGAATTTGAGAACAGCAGAGAATATCACCATATATTGTTCTTGAGGGTTTTTTTAATCTATTCCTATAGATTAAAGGTTTTCACTATTATATGCTATTACAGTCTGACCAAATGCAGTGATTTTTATTTTCTTAAATGTATGAAATATTTTTTATTTAATCTGCAGAGCATTTTGGTTTTAATCATATAAAAAGCAATGGACACATTTTTTATACAACCAGTTTAGAAACAGTATCTAGCAATCAAGGCAAATCAATTATCACAGAATCATAGAATCGTTTAGGTTGGAAAAGACCTTTAAGACCATCAAGGCCAAACATTAACCTAACACTGCCAAGTCCACCACTAAACCATATCCCTAAGTGCCATGTCTACACGTCTTTTGAATACCTCCAGGGATGGTGACTCAACCACTTTCCAGGGCAGCCTGTTCCAATGCTTGACAACCCTTTCCGTGAAGAACTTTTTCCTAATATCCAATCTAAACCTCCC